TGTTGTTTGGCGGGTCCGGGCTGGGGATTCGAACCCGCCACCTTAGGTGTACGTGGCTGGCGCCTTAGCCCGTTGAGCTACAGGCGCCGAGCCAAGGAGTACATTTTCATTCACTTATTTGTCTGTTCATCCACCCAATGAGCAGCCATCGAGCACTATCTGAGCATTACAGCACGCAAAATAATGAACAAACACAGACATTTGTTACAGAATTATACAGTTTCTAGGGAAAACAGTCATTAACACACACAGATAAAGGTACAAGTGCTGCCAAGGGTAAGGTACCCCACACTCTCACCAGCTTATGAGAATCAGATCTGATCAGAAAAGTAAGGCTTTCTGAAGGAAATGAGGAAATGTTTCAAGAATGAAGAAGACTGCAGGAAAAGAAAACACTATGTGCAAAGAAAAACCATGGCCAATCCTCAAGCCTAAAATAAAAGCAGTGAGCCTCTAGCACAGCGCCTAAGAGAAGAGTGTGGTAGGAAATGAAATAAGAAAGGCAGGCAGGTGGGAGCCAGACAATGCAGCGCCATGCAGGCCATAGTAAGTTTTGTTTTGATCACAAACACAATAGAAAGTAAGAGGTAGTGATAGGATTAGATCTGTGTTTTTTGAATAAAACCCTCAGGCTGTTCTGATAGAACGGTAGATAAACTGAAGGAAGCCAAAATGAGTTTAGGAAGAATATTTAAGAAGTTACTCCAATAGTCTAGGCAGGGACAATAGTAACACTGAACCAGAGTGGTCTCAACACTCTGGAAGCCTGGGGACAGGGGTTCTTCCTGTTCAATATGTAGACTTTCAGGGGTACCTGGCACCTATGATATAAATGCCATTTCTTTTTTTGACCTATCATTTTTGTTTTGCTTTACACTATACAGAGATTTTTTTTTTTTAACTTCTATTATTCTTTGTTTATGGCTTTTAGGTTGTGTGACTTTTTTTTTTTGAGACAGAGCCTCAAGCTGTCCCCCTGGATAGAGTGCCATGGCATCACAGCTCACAGCAACCTCCAACTCCTGAGCTCAAGTGAGTCTCCTGCCTCCACTTCCCAAGTAGGTGGGACCACAGGCATCCGCCACAACACCTGGCTATTTTTTGGTTGCAGCTGTCGTTGTTTGGCAGGCCTGGATTGGATTTGAACCCGCCACCTTAGGTATATGGCTGGCACCTTAGCTACTTGAGCCACAGGCGCCAAGCCTGTGACACATTTTAACCTTTTTCTGCTATGAAATTTTTTTGTTTTTGGAGACAGAGTCTTTACTTTGTCACCCTCGGTAGAGTAACATGGCATCATAGTTCACAGAAACCTCAAACTCTTGGGCTCAAGTGATCCTCTTATCTCAGCCCCTCAGGGAGCTGGGACCACAGGCACCCACCATGATGCCTGGCTAGTTTTTCTACTTTTAGTAGAGATAAAGTCTTGCTCTTGGCTCAGGCTGGTCTCAAACCTCTGAGCTCAGGCAATCCACCCACCTCGGCCTCCCAGACTGCTAGGATTACAGGCATGAGCCATTGTGCCCAGTCCTATGAGATTATTTTTAAAGGAGGAAAACAGAAGAGACTAAAAATGAGATTGAGGTTAAAAATCTATGTAAGAAGGTGGCCTCATATACCGAGGGTGGCGGGTTCAAACCTGTCCCTGGCCAAATTGCAACAACAACAAAAAAAAAAACAGCCGGGTGTTGTGGTGGGCGCCTGTAGTCCCAGCTACTAGGGAGGCTGAGGCAAGAGAATCACCTAAGCCCAAGAGCTGAAGGTTGCTGTGAGCTCTGACACGATGGCACTCTATCAACAAAAAGTGAAACTCTGTCTCTAAAAAAAAAAAAAAAATCTGTGTAAGAAACAGTTACCTCGGGGGTTTGGAGGGATCACTTCTGAGGTTTACCTTATAGGGGTACAGGTGAATCTTTCTAAGAGTGGAATGTGAACGTTTTAAAGCAATGACTGAGAAAATGACATGAAGGCTGTGTTGACCAGTTTGATGGAAGTATTTCAGATTGCATGTGAAAACCCACACTGTACCCCAGAAGTGCATTAATGTACATAGTTACCATTCAATAAAAAATAAAAAAATTTTAAAAAAGAAACAGTTACCTCTACTCTTCCCTTTTTTGATCCACCAAACTCAATGACTACTCTCCCCACCCAAATAGAAAATAGGTTTATTATTCTCTGGAGAAGTTAAACTAAGGGGACTTTGGACTCCACACACAGGAGAGAGCAGAAATACTTACAACAGGAGAATTAAGTGGAAGTCTACATATCAAACAAAGAGACTTTTGACTCCCTTCTTCACTGGGGTCTTAGAAACACTGGCAGCCAGCTCATACCTTCCAGGTAGAAGACCGGAGGGTTCCTTTGGGGAAAATGATCAACCCAAAGAAAGAAAACTAGTTTCTGACAGTCTGGAATTCCCCTAAGAAAGGGCTTAGGTAAATCAGGCAACAATGAGGGTATCTGGCAATAAATCCCACCCATACACACAAAGAGGTTCTGACCTGTTTTCAATGCCTCACTCTTAAAGGTAAACCAAAAACCAAGGACCACTAACCCTTTGGAAAAGGCTGGACTATAAAACTGAATGTAAGACTAAGAGATTAAAAAAAAAAAAAA